TAATAATAATAAAAATAACAAACAAAATCTCTCTGGCAAACCAGAACACACTGTTGAAAGTTCAAAATCATCTACTAGATCTTCAGACTGTATTCCCACCTTGTTTTTAAAAGCAATATTTCAAACCGTTGTCAGCTACTTTAACTTTTTTTACTCGAACTGCTCTGAATTTTCTACAGTGCAAGCATGCCACTGTTTATCTGCTATTAAAGAAACCCTCCTTAGATCCTCTGTTTAAAGCTATTTAGACCAATTTCTAAACTGCCATTTTTTTCTCTACAATTTTATCAAACATACTCTTCAGACAGATAATTCTTTTTATGAACAATAATAGCATCTTTGAAAAATGTAAATCTGGCTTTCACTCCCTCCACAAGGTTGCCCTCTGGCAAGGTTACCAATGACTTGCTGCTTGCAGCTGATGCAGACCTGGATTCATTTTTAATTGTGTGGATGCTGTAAAGTATCCATACTATGCTCTTCTGTTCTTTATTTATTGTATGGATGCTGATTCCACATCCATACTATGTTATCCTGTTCTTTATTGTATGGATGCAGATTCAGCATCCATAATATGTTATCCTGCTCTTTATTGTGTGGATGTGTTATCCTGTTCTTTATTATTTTTCTGATTTCTTCCGTCCGTTTTTCGGCACTTAATTTCTTCAGCATACTTTCAGCTACAAAAGCCATTAAAGTATCAAAATGTTCAACTCTGGACATGTGTGCTTGTATTTTTATTGTTTGTAACATTTATACTTTTTCAGCTATTTAGCTTTTTTCAGCTAAATTTTGCCCATTCAAATGAATGGGCAAAATTTTCACATCTTAATATCTTCAGCATACCTTCAGCTAAAAACACAATTTCAACTAATAACTATTCCGCAACTCTATTCATACCGTAAACAGTGTTTTGATATATTTTATGGCTTTTGCATAATTAAAGTTATTTCTATGTACACTAGATTAGTGTTTCTCCACTGGTGTCACCCTGGGACCCACTTTGCAACCCACTTGTCATGTCCGCGACCCACCAGTACAGGATTTCAAATAAATTAATTAAATTATAAACCTTTTTTTAAAAACATAGTACAGCCTTTGTGTCAGATTTTTCTGTCTGCATTAAGGAAATGTTACTCAAAAATAAACATAAACACCACCACTGCTGCATAACACAACATAAATATAACAGTCGAATAACACAACAGGGTGCTGTATGTGTATAAAACTGAATGCAGAACTGCAAACAACATGATAAGACTTTATAGTCTCTTTTCACTTAACATGTAAGCAAGATTTTATTTTACAGTGAACTAATGAGATAGCTGTAGTTGTCCAATAGTTTTGACAAGACTTTCAATGTCTGGGCTGATACTAGACAGAGCTACTCTCAGATCATATTCAGTGTCCAAGCTGTTCCTTTGCTTTGACTTGAGCTGTACCAAAGTGGAGAAGCCACTTTAACACAGATAGGTTGTTGTGAACAGTAAGATTGTTTGACTGCCAACGTAGCGTGGGAGGGATATTCAGAAATCATGTATTTGCACCGGAAATGGGGGAGCCTTACCTCATCAAATTTCTTTCTCAGAATCTGGTCACATGACAGCTCGACCATCTGATTCTCCTTGCCACTTGGCAAGACAACGCTTTCCATGTCAATTCCAAATGTCCTTCCAAATGCCAGTCACTGCCTTCTTTTTGAAGGCAGTGACTGTCAGTCTGTTCAAAGATGTGTCCTCTCCCCTGCAGACATGTTTAAAGTGTTGAGGTGCTCGAAGACATTGGCAAAGCGCACGAGCCAGAGTTCATCGCTGAGCATCTCAGTGTACAGGGAGTTATTGTATGAGAGGAAGGCGGTGATTTCACTTTTAAGCTCATAAAAGCGTGACATTACCTTTCAAAAACCAGCGAACTTCTGAATGATACAACTGG